GTTACAATTTAATGAGTGTTAATTAACAGTTATTTTTGTGCGCACTGAGAAGACGAGTTTTTTGTGTTTCTGTGTGTGGAGTGAAAATGTGGAACAATGTGAGTTGAAACAATGTCTAAACATAAAACTATTTAAAAGAAAGTACAAAGAAATTATTTTAATGAAATGTAAAGATGTGTAAAAATGACATCAGCCTGTATTGAGAAATGGTAATTGAATAATGTTGTTTCTATTAATGGTTGTATTAATAATAAATTAGATTAGTAAAAATAGTTAATAATGGTGAAGTGGTGGGATTAAATAAGCATGTACTGTTTCCTGCTTCTTTTCGATTTGAGCTATATAAAAATCACTTTTTAATTTGAACTAGTCTTTAAATGTAATTTAATCTTTACGTTTTAATTTTTGTAGATTCTTTATCTTTTGTTTCTCTTGTTTAAAATGGATTGTGCAGTTAGGTCCATATGCATTTGGACAGAGACAATTTATTTCTAATTTTGGTTCTGTACATGATCACAATGAATTTTGAACAAATCATTTCAGATGCAGTTGAAGTTCAGACTCTCAGTTTAATTCAGTGGATTAAACAAAATTTTTGCCTAGGAGGAAATAAAATATGTTTTAAACAATCCCTTCATTTCCTTCATTTCAGAGGCTTTAAAGTAAATGAACAAATTAAATATTTGTAAATAAAATGTTAATTTCAAGGATTTGGTTGAAAAGCCTTCGTTGGCAATGACAGAATTCTCTGCCAGGCCTTCACTGCAGCAGTTTCCAGTTGTTTGTTTGTGGGACTTTCTGTCTGAAGTTTAGTCTTTTAAAGTGAAATGCTCGTTTGGGTTGAAATCACGTGACTGACTTGGCCATTCAAGAATATTCCACTTCTTTGCTTTAATGTCCAACCCAATGTCTAATCTAGCCTTTTTATTCTTGAGTCTTAKGCGTGTCTTGCAGCGTGCAGTGAACCCTCTGCATTTACTCTCATGCAGTCTTCTCTTTATGGTAGATTAGGATATTGCTACCTCCTGGAGAGTGTTGCTCACTTGGTTGGCTGTTGTGAAGCGGTTTCTCTTCACCTTGGAGATTATTCTGCCATCATCCACCACTGTTGTCTTCTGTGGGCGCCCAGGTCTTTTTGTATTGATGAGTTCACCAGTGCTTTCTTTCTTTCTCAGGATGTACCAAACTGTAGATTTTGCCACTCCTAATACTGTAACAATTTCTCAGATGGGTTTTCTCTGTATTTGCAGCTTAAGGATGTCTTGTTTCACCTGCATAAAGAGCTCCTTTGACTGCATATTCTCTCCACAGCAATATCTTCCAAATGCAAGCACCACACCTCAAATCAACTCCAGGCCTTTTATCTGCTTAACTGACAATGATATATTGAAGGGATTGCCCACATCTGCCCATGAAATAGACTTTGAGTCAATYGTCCAATTACTTTTGGTTTACTCCTAAACCCTTCATACARTTTTAACGAGGATACCCTCAAATGAAAGCTGARAGTTGAACTTCATGTCCTTGTTCATTATGTAACCATAACWTGAATATGTTTCAGTRARCAGATAAAACMTAATGTACATAATGTGTTACACATGGAGTTCATGTATTTATTTAACCTTTATTTATCCAGGTAAACTGTTTGAGAAYCACTTCTCATTTACAAACATGACCTGGCATGCACTGAGTGCATTGCAATATACAAACSTACATATTCAGTCATAGTAAAGTGACTGTAAATTTCAATCACAATTAAAATTTTTAATCTATGCCCATGCAGCACTAAAATTAATCTGAGTTAACTCGATTAATTTCACAGCCCTAATAAAAAAAACAAACTTTGTGTCAGTGTCTAAATAGATATGGACTCAACTGRATACATTCAAAATAAACCAAACAAACTAGTCTAGCCATTATTTATGCCTACTTATTCCAGCAGTCGCTGTGCAGGAGGTAAGGGTTCCCCCAGAATTGTCACAAGTCAGGGCCTTCATTTGGTCTAGCTCTGAAATATGTATGTCGCCTGGCAAAAAGCAAGGAAACATCTGCACCTCCTCATTGTCCCAACGACTCAGTCCACTTGTAACGACGTCCAAGTGGTTTCTMAGAACAGGGCTGAAAGTGTGTGGGACCACCAATGGAAAGACTCTGAACTCGTGCCAGGTCCTGAGTAAAGCCAAGTCGATGCCATTASAGAAGAAATGTACATTTTCATTCTAAGCAATGTATTGTTATAAAAGAGTAAAGGGTCAGTTTCACAGAAGCTCTGTATTTATTTCGTTTATAAAGCGAGAAAGGTCAGCAGAAATGTGCAGCTGTGTGTCTGCTCAGACGCATTCTGTTTGTCACACCTCAGATTTCAATCCTCCACCAGCTGATAATGACTGTTTGCCATCTGTAGATGTTTCACCTTCGCTTCACAAGTATCGTCAATAATCGCATCATCAGGCCTTAAAACGTGTTGATTGGAGGAAACATTTTGTAGCTTCCAGCAGTTTGGATCTCATCATGACAATTAAATGTTTCCAGTTAAAGAAGAATTTATGGAGATGAAACTCTTTGTTGAACAATATTTTGGATGATTTAAAAATAAACTAATTAGAAGTCCAGATGTAAGGAACCAAATAGTGTACACTAGATTGTATTCTAGAAATACAAAGAATCATAAACAGTTACAAAATCTTGTTAACTGGATTCTAGCTGAGGTATGTTACTGAAAAGAAATGGATGACTGAACCTCAGTCCAACACTCAGGAGCAAGTCTCAAAAACCTTGCTAGTGA